TTTGATCTTTTTGTTTTGATTTTTGTTTCTATTTTTCCTACCTTTTCCTTTTCGGCATTGTCCGTCATTCTTTTTCAGTGCGCAAACTAGTTATTGTCTTGATGCCAGTGATCATGAAGTTTGAGTTCTTGACTTTTGAACTATGATTTTTCTTCTCTCATTTGCAACAGTTTCCTTTATTTTTTGATTTTTTGTTTTATTAGCTTTAGAGTTTCCATTGCATTTGAACTGATTTCATCATATTTGAATTTATTCTTATCCTAGATTTTGTGGTTTAATTTTTTGATTTTGGATTTTTCATCATGTGGAATGTTTGTGGGTGGAATAAAATCTTCCTGAATGGGGTGGATAGTCATTTTAACTGATTTTAATACCTTTYTTTCTTCAATTATTCTCAGGTTCATTGAAGTTTGTGACCTCTATTTATAAATTGTTGTTTAACTTGTCTAAATCTGTTAGCTTAGAAGTGAACGCCTGTTGGCATCTTGTTTGATCTGTCTTGTCCTAATTTGCTTTACTTAAGGTTCATTTATTGACAACTTGTTATTAAGTTAATACAGTATCCCAGATAAGATTCTGATGGAACATAGGTGGCTCACGCAATCAAATTCGCCGGGAGGCAGAACTTGTGTTGTGATACCTTGTCTAAGTTTGGACTTTTAAGTTTTTTAAATTTTGACGTTTTTGATCTTCATCGTTTTTTTTTTCTGATGTGTAATGATGTTCTATTTGTCTTTAAGCTTTATTCCTGTTGTATTTTTGGCTTTATTTGAATGAATGTTTTTATGGTCATCATTTTGATTTGCACTATTTCCTTGTACTTGATGTTTTTTTTGTTTTTTTTGCATTTGTGGAGCAGACATTTAATAATTATTCCTTATCCATTTCTGGTATTGAGTATTTTTTTTTACTCATGAGGAGGGATTGTCGTGGACTAATTATTTCTGTCACCTTGACACTGTCCACTGTTATATCTTGTAATATCTTATGACTGTTTTTTTAATCTGTGGCTCCGGACYTCAGAGGCTATAGCATCAAGATGGCCTCTTTCCACGTACCGATATGGTCACCTTGGGGTTTAGAGCTTGTCATTGGCTGTTAGTGACATGAGGCAGGTTGTGATTGGTTGTTCATTATCACATGATGATAGCTGAAGGTATAARATTTCTTTTCCGCCCTCAGTCGGGCGGCCACATCTYACAGACTTCCTGATTGTTTTCTGTTCCATGTCTGCCCATTAATAAATGATTTTACGACCATACTCGCAAGACTTTTTNACTTCCTGATTGTTTTCTGTTCCATGTCTGCCCATTAATAAATGATTTTACGACCATACTCGCAAGACTTTTTTGTCTTTTTAACATCCTTTCAATGTGTTTCTGCCCATCTTGCCGCGACAAATATCAATTCAAAAATACCCCAAAACTGAACATTAAAACTATTTTAGATAGATCTGTGAATACCGACACTACTTTTATACTGTGCCTCTACTCATTTGGTCCTTGCTCCTCAGCACTGGTGACCCTTGCTTTAGACTCACCTTTCCAGAAGAGGTCTCTCCTTTCTCACTCTCTGTGCTCCTCTGCCCTGACTCCTACAGGACAATAGGGATGGTGAAGTAATTATTATTAGTCTATTATTATTATTATCTACTGATGATATTCAGATAAGAATAAACTCAGCTCCTGTTTCACAGTGTGAAAACAGCCATGTGTGAAACACGGCTGGTGCTCCAGAAGGAAGTCCACCCAAAGACAGTAGAAGGAAAAGACGTGACTCAATTAACACATAGAACCAGGTAGCAAAGTAGCAGAGTTCTTTGGAATATAATTCTCTCTTTTGGAGTGTGCAAACTAGGGTTTTATTTGTCAAACAGGGGGCACTTGGTTTATTAATTGCATGGGACTTTTTGCTGTTGGGCTGATGTTAATTGTTACTACTATAGACATTTTTAAAGAGTACACTTGCTACTGGGTTGCATGAAATACAGCCTGAATACCTGAATGAATACATACATGAAAATACATCATTGGTCCTACTTGGCTAAACCAAAAACTGGAGAAAATGCCTCAGCACTCTGCAGCATTTTGTCCAAACCACATTTGACAGCTATGGAGGACCGAACCTTTCATAATGGTAAATAAATGTAGAAATATATAAATGGCTTGATAAAGTAAATACATGGCTAAATAAAATAATAATGTGGCAAATTTAGCAACCAAACAATAAAAAAATACAATTTTTTACCAATTTAAACAGTGTAACTTTAATCAATATTTATCATTTTTAACAGTATTAATTTAACATTATCACAACTATTTTATTGTTCATTTTATTTCCAGTCACATTT